CACAGGCTGTCGCGTGCTAAGACTTGGTTGAAGACGTTTGTGAGACTTTGAAGGAAGACATATTTTGCAACAAGGGGCCCACTGGACCCTTGTTTCATGCAGAAATTCAACTTCTGTCCTCACACCTCGAAGCCGGATTCATGCTATGCAGCACAAGAGGCACCAGCAATCGCGAACATTCTCTAAACCATCTGAATTCCAAGCTGCCTGTGTCCTCGGTGGTTTCAGGATAATGGTTACATATGGTAGTTTCCCAAAATTAGGGGATCCCCAACATAGACCCCAAAATACTATGGTCCTTATGATAGAGACCCCCAAAAAGGTACCCCTAATTTTGGGAAACTCCCATATATTCCCTCCCCAATCCATGTTAGGTACCAGCAGCTATCACAACTGACACAGGAGCGCTTTTCGTGGACCTGCCTGGTAGCTGCAGCTTGTGCAGTGCCTGGGGCCCAGCTACCGAAGACATATGAGCTATAGTCAAAACTCCTTAAAGGGGGGTTATATAGGGGATTATATAGGGGACTACTATAGGGGTTACTAAGGGGGATACTAGGAGTTTAGACTACAGCTCATATTGGTGCAGTGTGTGAGGTTTACGATTCAGGGTTTGGGTTTTCGGACTTAGGGTTCACATTGGGTTTAGGCTTCAGGGCTTCATCCTGTATGTATCTAGTTTACAGTGTAGGGTTCAGGGAGGCAATGCAGAAGTTTATTACACAGGGCTGGGGACGATTTCAGAGATACCCTCCTTCACGCTCCGCCCAGCAGAAGGAAGGCTCATGTTCTTGGCGCTTAGGACGTGGGGTTAAGACGCGCATCTTTGATCCATAGAATCTGGCACGAACAGTACTGTACTTCTTCAGGGTGCAACCAAAACATCAGATGCATGTGATGTGTTTCGTGACGTTGCGCGATGATATCAGCCCCTTAGTCGCCAAGCCCTGAAACTCATGGAACTCGAGTCTTAAACCAAATTCTGCGAGGCTCATACCGCTGGCTTTGCTCCTGACCTGGCATCTCGCGCATCGAGGCAGTAGGTAGGGTGGGGAAAGCATATTGAAAGTGGTTGCTCCCGAGATATTAGCACATCTAAAGCTGAGGTTGACAGTATGTTTAGTCCATATTCGTGACTCCCAAAACGAAGGCCTTATAAGCACTGCCATTTGGGGACCATCAATCAAGAGGGGTCTTCTCGCGACCTGTGCACTCAGGAACCCGAAACTCTTAGTTTCACATGTGACCCTGCACTCGATGAATACCCAAACCCTAGGGATCCAAGTATCCAAATAATGCCAATAGTGGAGAATCAAATGGAAAAGAAAATGGAAAATGAAATGGAAACTGGGGGTATAAAGGGGTTATATAGGGATCCAATTCTACAAATAATACCTACATTGGGCCCCAGAGTCTGTAAATATTACCTACATTGGGCTATTTGGATCCCTGGGGAAAGGCTTGTTGGGCAATTTGCTCCACAGCGTTTGCTGCTGTCTGTTTGAGGCCCAGCAGATTTCACTTGCTTATGTAGTGAGGTCTTAGTTACCACTTTTTGCACGTACTACGTGCCTATACCCTAAACCTCAAACCCTAAGCCCTAAACCCCAAACCCTAAACCCCAAACCCTAAACCCTAAACCCCAAACCCTAAACCCCAAACCCTAAACCCTAAACCCACCCTAATGTAGAGATGCACCACCCCAAGCTCATGTGGAAGACTGTCAATAACATAGTCCGTTTTGGGGTAAGCCGAGTATTAGGTGCGAGACCATACTGGGGACCCAGAAAGGGACCACCCTAAACCCTAGACCTTAAGTCTATGGGCACATACACCGGACGCACAAACCCCCTGAAATTGTGCGTCATCTATTCAGCTCTGTGCAAGTCAGGCCACCACGCTCATGAGGCAGGAGGGAGTTGTTTGGGGTTGAGGCTTTAGTAAGAGTATGGGGTTTAAGCAACATAGGGCATAAGGTATAGGGACAGTGTGTAGCTTTAAGAGCATGTGATTCTTGGCATCTAGGGTTTGGGGCATAAGCTGTCATAGGATGCATATACATTCTTTGAGCCTAACATCATGCTGGCTGTAACAGACTTCTTCCCAGCTGCTTCGCATTTTCAGATCCACAGTACTATTCAAATGTGGCGGGCTTGGGCCATCTCATGCAGACTAAAGAGAGGACTTCTGGCGCGTTTGTATTAGTCACACCCAAGAGGAATGCGCCTGCTAGACACCGCGTAGCATTGTATAGTCCGTACTTGCATGCATCACTATGCATAGTCCCCCTAAAGTAGATAGAATATGGGGCATATGGAGATCTTTTTAAAATATCCCCCAAGCCATTATATCATCATAAGGGGGACTATAGTATCTAGTGGGGGCCTAATCTTTCAGGGCCTACTTTGCCTCAACAGAGCTTTACCAGCATTTGTGGAGCTACATGATTACATATATACAATAGTCTAAACTCCTTACAGGGGATTATGTAGGGGACTATACAAGGGAGTATTTTGCGGCTTATGAAGGGGGATACGAGGAGTTTAGACTATGGCTCATACCATGCTGATGGTATTCAGGACTAAGGGCTTCTACTCAGGTCAGGGAAGCTAGGGTTTAGGGTTTATAGGGTGGGCCCTCTCTTTATGAAGGGCAAAGAGGCTTCGCATGTGCGGATAGCGCGACCTGGACGATAAACCCAACTTTAGTGCAGGCTATTGACCTGAACCATGGGATTGCGGGCTGAGGGCTTACAGCTTAGCTTTTACTATGGACCTTGACGGCATAAAACTGGGTTGCTGTTAAGGAACTTAGTTTAAGTTACTATATTGGTGACAACATATTAACTTATATATATATATATATACCCATTATGGCAACTGAAACCCTTGCCCCTATATACCCTATGTATATGCTATATATATATATATTTATACCCATTATGGTATCTTATTTTAAGTTCCTCAACAGCAACCCAGAAAGGGCGCTACGGGGTAAGTAGTCACCATGGCGTTGCTGCTTTGCAGGCATAGGCTTGAGAATTTAGGGGTTAGGGTTTGGGGATTAGCTTTTAGCAGTTTTGTTGCCACACAATTCTGTGGGTCTTGTGTGATAATCTGAACAGTTCCCCTGTATCGAAGGCACCCTTCCCATTGATCCTTCATGGTATCTTTCTTCAAGTCTATATAACTCTGATAGTTAATGCGATGTGTGGAGTATTCAAAGGAAGGGACAGGCTTGTCTGCATGGCTTACTTGTGCAATTTCTGGTGGCCAACGGTAGGAGGTAGTTTAGAGAAGTTCCTGCTAGGCTAGACCGACTGATGATGCCTCTGCCCATTCCATGAAGTCTGAGTATCAAAGCTTTTCCGACAAAAAGGCATTGCCATGTTCGCCAACACCCTTTTGCATTAGACTCGCGTATGACGCTGCCGTTGCCGCTTGTCAAGCTGGCTGCAAGCTCTTGCAGCGATGTGGATAGATAGACAACTTCTGACGCGCCCAATACCGCAAGACGCAGGGCATGACAGAGTTGTTTTCAAAAGGCACGAACATCCAATTGGCAGGGCCCAAGACTTCATAGGAACTCCAAAGTATATACCATTATCCCTGATCACCATTAGAAGGCAATGAAGGCTCCTACTTAGATATCTCCTGGAGTTTGGCCCAGGAAGAACCTGTTCCTCCAGCTAGAAGAGGTTCTAAGAAGAAACCAGCTGCATGGTTGCACTGCTGCAGTATAGATTTCAAGTTCCAGATAATCATGTATAGTTTCTTGCAATGGCATTTTTAGATAAGACTATAGTATTCCGTAAATGTCATGGCCGTTATGTCATCTCCAACCCTATAGTAGTTTCCATTTTCCCTTCCCTAAACCCCTAGACCCGATGTGTCCTTATAAACCCCTTTAACCGGGACCTGGGGGCCTGTCGTAGTTTCTCTTTCTATTCCAAAATAGCCAGTGGCAAAATCTGGCCCATGAGAGAAGCCGACGCTTTGCCCCATCTGCCTCGCGAAGTGGTCGTTCGCATCTTCGAGCGGCAACCTGTCATGGTTTTCTGGTTGTTACAGTTGATGGATGAAAATCTTGCACCATCCACGGGCCCTAAACTACTGTAATTCCTAGGACTTTAGGGACTTGAGGTGGTTCAAGATTTCCTCCATCAACTGTATGGGCTAGCAAGTATAAAGATGAAGCCTCCAAAAGGTCATATGGGAATAGCGGCGTATGGGGCTATAAAGAGGGTGTACAGGGGCATACAGGGTTAAAGAGGGGGGTGTATGTATATAGAGGGCTGTATGAGGATATATGAGCAACCGTCAATACTCGTTTATAAGGAATTTAAGAGCTGCTGGACATGGAAGGCCAAAACCCTGTAAAGCGACGGGAACATTAAGAAGCGACACCCCCAATAGATGAGCGAAAGAGGGCCTCATGGCATGCTGGGTAAAGTCATGTCCATTTCTCTCATTTCATATAGGGGCACACATTCAAAGAGAGAGTTGTTAGTAGCTACTG